GGCGGCAGTAGAGTCCAAGGGGGAAGCATTGGCCGTTAGTTTGGACATTGCGAAGGCCCTCGATCGGGTTTGGCACAAAACGCTTCTTTCGAAGTTCGCTTTGTATGGGCTTCCCGAGAAATTGTGCAATTGGATCACCAGCTTTCTTGCAGATCGGAGCATCAAGGTCGTTGTAGACGGTGCAAGCTCCGATTACAAGCCTATTAATGCTGATGTTCCACAAGACTGCGTGCTATCACCAACGCTGTTTCTTCTGCATATGAATGATATGTTGCAAACCTGTAACGTTCATTGCTATGTAGATGACAGCACTGATGACGCTCTGTACACCTGCCGTGCCAAAATTTCTCGGGATAACGTCTTCGTATACCGGGACAAACTTGTGTCTGAAGTCGAGTCTTTGCTGAACAAAGTCTCGGATTGGGGGCGACTAAATCTAGTCCAGTTTAACCCTCAGAAGACACACGTTTACGCGTTAACCGCTAAAAAGAACCCCTTTGTCGTATCTCCTCAGTTTCAAGGCGCTCCCCTTGTTTCCTCAGCCAGTATCAGAATGCTCGGCGTCGACATATCGAGTCACGTGCAGTTTCGTGGTCACTTGGAAGAGAAATCCAAATTGGCTTCTAAAAAAAGCTTGGGGTGCTCAGCAAAGCGAGACAGTATTTCATGCCGGCACACCATCTGCAACTTTACAAGGCGCAGGCTCGGCCACACATGGAATACTGTTCCCATCTCTGGGCTGGGGCACCCCAGTACCAGCTCTTTCCACTTGACCGCATCCAGCGCAGAGCGGCTCGAATCGTCGACGACCGAGTGCTTTCCGATCGGTTGGATTCCCTGGCGCTGGGAATAGATGTTGCATCTCTTTGCGTATTTTATCGTATCTATCGCGGGGAGTGCTCTGAGGAATTGTTCGGATTAAGCCCAGCCGCCAAATTTCATGAACGCACTACGCGGCAAACCTCCAGATACCATCCACAACATCTGGTAAAAGAGCTTACTCCTTCCTAAAGGGCTGGCAACACACCTGCAATTCCCTTGGTGTTGCGGTTGTTCGTGGGCTGTCGAAGTCACTTAACATTAGGTGAACCGTATGCTCGTTTGTTTGGCCCCTCTTCTATATAAAAAATAATTGTATTGAGCGGAAGTCCTCCCCCATCAAATACGCGGGGCAGCCTGAGCACCCACGCTCAGTAGTGGTGTAGTTTAGTCTTGGATGCTCAGCGAGGGATTCTCCGTCACCAGGGGTGCTGTTACTCTCTTGGTGTAGTATCTTATTTAGTTCTGCTACCATCTTAATGGAGGGGGGAGGGGGCAGAAGGAATGGGGCCTCCGACCACCTTCACCCACTGCACGTAACAAGGTATCATACATGCAACGGCGAAAATTGCTACGCGGGTCTACTAATGAGATTCATTTCGACGACCAGGCGGCTACTATTTCGTTATATTTCAATGATTCTTAAACAGAAAAATGGCAGCGACCATCTAATAAAGTCAACGCTTCGGCACCCTCGTGCTCCAATTCAGAGCCCCGAAAACTTTCACCTCGAATTACAAAATCATTTTTCTTATTTACTTCATGGCTTCTCTAAATAGAATTCTGCTAATTTTAAGTCAATCGTGGGAGTGACAACAAAATCATTTCAGTGCCTAGAAGATTGTAATACAGTGGATGATATTATGTGTTTGTGTGAGTGGATTATATACAGGTATATAATCAAAGGTAGCTTTCTCTCTGGTTGGTTTCTTTACTCATGTGGTCATGTGTTATGTTCATATCATACATAATAATATGTCAGTAGGACAGGTTTAGGTCCGACTCGGCTGCGTATCGTTCGGGAAATTACGAGGATAAGTGTGGATGTTCATGGTTCATGGGCCATAGTATCCACTTACCATCAGGTGGACTCAGTGCTGGTTTGTCACCCAATGCTATAAAAAAACTCAGTCAGTTGTGGAGAATCTCAAATTTTTTACTTTCTGAGTGGAGAACGCTATGCTTAGAGTTTCTCTGCGTGATATACTTCGTAAAAATAATATCCGCAGTAGAAACACGGTTATCGACTGACTGAAGTGGCAATGAACTGGCCATGTAGTTTTAAAACCGAAAATCGATGAGAAAAAAAGTATTTCGTGTGCCAGCCACGCACCGGTAAGAGAAGTGTAGGGCGACCCTACATCTTCTCCCGAGGTGGGATTTGAGATTTTAGTCGCTGTAGGCGGGTATAGGTATTAAAAAAATAGGCCAACCCCTCAAAAGACCTGATAAAAGAAGCAGGAAGTGAATGGATGCAGGTAACTTGCTTGCTTGCTTTGGTAGCATTCCTTAGAAGAGGTCTATGTTTAGCTATGGACTAATAATGATGAATTAGGTATAATTATCTAGACAGAGCTGAGCGAATACTGGTGCTCCAATCCACAGCGTCAGTAGGTAATAAACTCATTTACTTTTGTATAAGTATCACTATATTAACCTTCATCTTTCTAAACAAATTTTCACAAAAATTAAAAAAATATACAAGTTGTAAATGTGTTAACAAAATAAATTAAAACGTTCTCGACATTATTCTAATTATAACAACATAAATACTGACCAAGAAAGTGGTCACTGGAATAAAATAACGATGCCATTATAATATAATCAATAAACAATGCTTATCGCACTATTATAGATAAATTACCGTGGCACTATCGTCTGCACAGTCTGCATAAACAAGGTATCAAAATACATTTGTCACGAGTTCTGAGTACTTACACCTTAAATGGATGTAGTGCTAAGTATCTACCCACCTACCTACTGCTGTACTTACGATTAGGAATGCCATATCGAAAGACCAAGATATCTGGACAATATTTGAAAATGTCGGGGTTTCGGGTTGTTGTCGGGAGAAACAAATATTATAAACAAAAAGTTTATTTTTCAAATTAATAGGCTACAAAAATATTGTTGACTTTATAATATTGTACATAAATAATTTAAGTACACTTAATTTTTATGCTGCCACACTTTGATTGACACGTTGTAATCAAAGCTATGTACATATAAAATGCTTTGTCCTGAATGCTGACGGATCAACGCACAGCCTAAACCGCTGATCGTAAAGACCTGTGTTCTATATATGACGTAGGCTTGAACGAATTAACCACTGGACCCAACATATAAGCGGACGTACCTATACCGGTCTTGTCGGTAACCAGGATTCTAGCCTTGGTTGTTTGTTTTTGCGTCAGTCTCAAGCACTTACTTGTCACCAAAACATCTCCCAAAAATGACTAAATGTTCAGTTAAATGGTGTAAAAACTATAGCGGCGGAAGCAGCACTATTTCTTTTCATTTGTAAGCGCATTATTTTATTACATTTATTGTTATTTATCACAAAATTTAATCAAATGTAAAATAATATTCTGTATTATCCAACTATGTTAAATGTAGTCGATATTTCTACGTATTGTTGACATCTGACAACCATCACAAAATGGCTGGATTATACCATTCAGAACGACTGACTAAAACTGTGGAGTGAGTCAATTTGACTATTGCTTGACCATGTCGAAAAATATATCGATATTTGACGATATGACCGAATGAATGATGATTTTATTTGTACAATACAATAACACTTAAAAATACTTATATAACAGTATCCTACAATCTGATGTCATTAAATTTATAATAATAATTTTTATAATTAAATAAAAATATTATAAATTCAAAAATTATAACTTAGTATATGTACTTAAAATATTTAAACACATAAATTACACGAATTTTCAGATTTCCCAGTGACCCTTCTCGGAATAGAAACTGGGTAGAAGCAGTTCGTAGAGATGAAACCTGGATGCCGACGAAACACAGCGCCATATGCAGTGTACATTACGATACTGCCTGTTTTAATAATAATGCAAAGAAACAGAAAATGACACCAATGAAGGCAGTCTCATTTCTCATAAAGGCAAGGGAAAACTGATACTTCCCTCAAGTGATACCATAGCTATTTGTTAGCACTGCTAACTCGAACTTAGGAAGAGTCTTCAGAATAAAAGACTAAAAAAAGATTACACAACAGACTTTCTCGAGCCGAAAGTAACAAAAACATTGCTGCAACTTCCATTGTACGAAGACAATCATTTCTACAAATTTGAAAACGACGACGTGAATCACGTCGAAAAATTAACGAAAGCCGTTCCTGAAAAGTATTTAAATATTAGAATTGCTTATACAAGAAAACAAGCGAACAAAACAAGTTCTAAGAAACACATTTTAAAGAAGATGATACATAATAAAAGTCAGTAAACCTATTTAAATAATTTAAACTATATTAAAAAATTTGACGTTTATCATAACTTTAATTGAATAAAAAGTCCATAACAATGTCCTGCTTCTTTTGTTTTAATTAAAATTTTTAAATACCGGAAGGTTACCTCACCTTCATTATCCCTTTATTTCCTTTGTCTTGCAGCTTATTTACGTTACGCCTTTTCTTTCTCATTCGTTCATCGATATATTTTATCGACTACGATCAAGCACTAGAAATAGAGTGAACTTCTACGAATTTTGTATCTGTGTTTATATTAACGTAATAAAATCTTTGTTTGCGTTATTCTCCACTTGGTTGAACGAGTTTTCATACATTTGTGTTTTATGTCGGGTCCAGTGGTTAATTCGTTCAAGGACGTAGGTATCCAATAAGAAAGGATTTTAAAGAAGGAAGGAGGAAGAAAGAATTAGGATGGACAAGACAAAATTTGTATGGAAAAACCTCGGATGATTACTTCATCTGACGGGAAAACGTGATTCCCTGGTCCATGGAAGACGTATTTCGTATTTTATTGAATCGTCGTTTAGTGGGGCTAAAAGGGGTAGAAAGTTATTTTGAGGGTGATTTGCATCGAAGTTGATATCAATAGGTACCCGTTAGCGCTTTTGATTTAAATTACCTACATTTTATTTTGACACACGTTTCAAAACTAATAATAATAATAGTACGCACCGTCAGGATGGCGTTTGCTGGGACAAATGTCAGTTTGTCCCAGCCGGATGTAATGCAAAAACTGACGGAGCGCATAGATGATCTGAAGCAGAGAATCGCTGCTTGGGGAAAGCGAATTCGGCGATATACCGAGAGGTCGAATCGGTTCAACCAGAATCGTCTCTTCCAGAGTGATCAGAAGATGTTCTATGAATTATTGGAGCGACCAATGGTAATTGGAACCCGCCCAGCACCGAATCAGGCCGACACTGTAACATTCTGGCGCGGCCGTGGTCAGAGCCCGTAAACCATAGCGAAGGCCCTTGGACGGAAGTTGTGGCTAGTCAGTGTGCGAGTATAACGTCCATGGACCCCGTCATTATAACGCCGGATGACGTAGCTGAGGCGGTCCGTAGGGCCCCGAACTGTAAAAGTCCGGGACTCGACGGGCTACATCACTACTGACTTAAGGGGTTTGTGATGTGTCACACTGTGCTCGCCCGACAGTTCTAAGAGGCTCTCAACCAGAAGTCGCTCCCGAGCCTCTTCACAACTGAGATCACTCGTTTGGTTCCTAAAGACCAGGATACCACAGACCCGAGCAAGTACCGCCCATCACGAGTCTACCGATCATATACAAGATACTAACATCCATTTTGAGCGCGAGAATCACTCGTCACCTGGACTCAAATCAGGTGATGTCACGCGCTCAAAATGGATGTCGGGGCGGTGGTCGTGGAACCAAGGAACCACTTCTCATTGACGCGGTCATTGGCAAAGTGGTGAAACGCAACCGTCGGAACTTCTCCGCTACCTGGATAGACTACAGAAAGGCATTCAATTCGGTGCCCCATACATGGCTAAAGAGGGTCCTCGAGTTGTACAAGATTGACTGTACAGTTAGAGACTTCTTCGAGCAGTGTATGGGGCAGTGGAGTACTTCGTTTAATCTTTTGTCATCTGCGCGAGCGGATGACAGCTGTGGAAAGCCACATAAGGATAAGAAGGGGGATCTTCCAGGGCGATTGTCTGAGTCCAATCTGGTTCTGCCTCTCTTTCAACCCTCTCAGTACTTTACTGGAGGGCTCCGGGAGGGATTTTCAGCTTTGCAAAGGAGGTACAAAAGTGACCCACCTTTTTTATATGGATGAACTCAAGTTATTCGCCTCCAGTCGCTCCCATCTTGTGGAATTGCTAAACATCACTTGTGAATTTAGCAATTCTATTGGAATGGAGCTGGGGACGGATAAGTGTGCGGTCCTCCATGTTGAAAGGGGAAGGGTTGCTAACTCTGAGGGCATAGACTTATCTATGCCCATCAACTTAAGGACCCTTTCCGAGGCTGAAACATACCGATACCTGGGTGTATCACAGAATATCGGTATCGATGACGTCGGTATGAAACAGTCAGTTTGCGATATGTTTTATGCACGCTTGACCAAAGTGCTCAACAGCCTTTTGTCTGGTGTCAATAAGACACACGCATATAACAGTTGGGTAATGCCTGTCCTCATGTATACATTTGGCATACTCAGGTGGACCCAGACTGAACTTAACGCCCTGGATAGAAAAGTCAGCACTACTATGACATCTCGTAGGATGCATCATCCGAGATCGTCGGTAATGACGCTGTACTTGCCGCGAAAGCATGGTGAGCGTGGCTTTTTGAGCGCACTCACCATGCATAATCGCGAAGTGTGCAGCCTCCGTAATTACTTCCTGGCGAGATCGGATGATCCATTCTATAAGGACGTCATTTTTTGTGATAAAGGACTTACCCCTCTATCCTTAACCAACGAGCAATGGCAAGACACGGCAGTGCAGAGTATTTCCGACCGGGAAACCGTATGGAAGGAGAAGGAGCTCCACGGGAGGTTCTGCAAGGCTCTACATGAGCCTTTCGTAGACACCGTAGCCTCCCTCCACTGGCTACGCTTTGGTGATCTCTTCGGGGAAACCGAGGGGTTTGTCTGTGCAATACAGGATCAGGTTATTAAGACCAACAACTATCGGAGATACACCCTAAAGGATGGCACCGTCGACCTCTGTTGAGCTCGTCGCCATCCCGGTGAGTCACTTTGGCATGTCATTTCCGGTTGTTCGGCGCTTTCTAACTCTGAGTACTTGCACAGGCACAACCTAGTAGCCAGAATTCTTCACCAGGAGCTCGCTCTGAAATACGGTCTCGTGGACCGGAAATTGCCGTATTATAAGTACCTATTTGCCGGAAGCCGTGCTTGAAAATAATCGCGCCAAGTTCTACTGGGACCAGGCCATCATCACAGGCAGGACTATTATTGCGAATAAGCCTGATATTGTGCTGATGGACCGGGCACAATCAAGTATATTTTTGATCGACAATACCATTCATAAGCGAACAAAATATCTGGATCTGGCTCACGAGGTGACCGACATGTGGGGTTGTCTGCCGACTGAAATTACTCCAGTAGTCGTTTCTGCAATCGAGCTAATCCAAGTCATCCCCTCGGGTCATCTGAGGCGGCTGGGACTCCTTGACGGACCGCACCATGCTCAAATGCGGAAAGCGGTGCTCCTCGATACTGCCCGCATCGTCCGCCGGTTTCTTTCCCTTTCCCCCTAACCCTCGGCCGTTTGGTCTCCCTGCTGAGGGCCTCCATCTGGTTGGGCTTTTATTTATTTATGTTAGTATATGAAATATATATATTTATGTATATTTATCATTTCCTTTTATATATTTATTCGGCCAACCAGATGACAATACACTACTAATACCCCAAAAATAATAATAGTCTTTATTTGCATAAAACATGGTAAATATACAGATGTTTCAGAGTTTTATTATGCACACATATTTTGCTATTTTAATATATTGTAGCTCGCAAATTAAATTTAAAACCGTACAGAAGACGATCTCCGCCTGACGGTGGCTATACACTTAAATTAAAAGACATTGAAGACACAATAGGTAGTGGTCCCCTATAATAAGGTTCTGTCACCGACATTTAAGGCACAATATTAATATAGAATTTTGTAATTCTGATAAATTGATAAAGTCTGGGGGCACGGCCGTGCCCCCGCCAAGTCGAGCAAAAAAGCGGCACGGCCGTACCATACTTTTCTCGAAGCAATTCAGGCCATTTTCGACCCCCTATAACTTTGTAGAGGCTAAAACTAGAAGCCTGAATTTTCAGTAACTGAGTAGACATTGTATAGACATGATATATTTCGAATTTCATTCAATTTGAACCAGTAGTTTAAGAAGTATAACTAGTCAAAGTTTCTTAATTTTGTCACTCACTGACTGACCGATCATCAAAAAACTCTAAGGGACTTCTAGCAGACATAGAAGCTTCAAATTTAGAACATAATTAGTGTTTAGTGTATAAATCAAGGAAAAACTAAAATATTTTTTAATTTCGCTTCAGTTTTCTAGATACACCAACTGCATAAATAAGCCAAGTCAATCTATATATTTAAAACATATAAGATTTTTAACATTGATATGGTCACTATAAAATGTTGTTAGGTTAGCTAATTGCGTAATAACTTAAAACAGAAGGACTCTTAAGTAGGGACTGAATAAATTAACCGACTTGGTATTACATGGATCTCACAACTTTTTAAGGTAGAAGAATTGAGTTGCGAGACTTGGTTTTTTTACAAGTTATGTTTTTGATGGCACACATCACAAATGTACTTCCGTAAGTACTTTCTATGGGGCCGCTTCTGGAAGAAAGAGTTCATCACAAAGAGTCTCTCTTTCTCCATGAAGTCGCCCAGCTGCTGGCCTCTTGGGTTCCGTTGACCTATCAAAAATTTCCCTACCTTCAGCTCACCGTTCTTTCTTGTACCTAGCTTTTCGTTGAACTCACCCATTAACACTGTATAGTGGGTTTTGGAGGAATACATGGCTCTAGAAATATCCTCATACATTTCCTCCACCTCCTCATCGGGATGTGCCGACGTTGGTGCGTAAACCTGTATGTCCTTCAGCGAATTCCGTTTCGTTATTCTGAGTATAATGTACGCAACCCTCGTCGACACACTCAACACTATCTTTACAACGTTATTAACGAGAGACTTGTGGACGATAAATCCAACACATCCCTGGGACAAATCATAGAAATATTAAAAACAGCAACTTCATTACTATATCTATGGACAAATGGTCGCCCTCCCGGTGATAGAACAAGTTGCCGGATTCGAGAATCATCGTGTCCTCCTCCTCTCTTCGGCCTTCGGATAATCCTATAATATTCCAGCGCAGCTTGTCTATCTCTTCTTCCAGCTCAAGGATCTTCTCATAAGTCCTCAGGGTGCGTGCGTTGTAAGTTGCTAGATCAAGTCGTTTTAGGTGGCAACCGAACCTCCACCGGAGATTCTTAGCACTCCCTCCCCGCCGTTACCATGGTCGCCACCGTAGCCAGGAATGACGGGGCGGCCGGGGACTGAGAACATTTTGTTTGTGTCGTTGCTCATGGGGGGTATATTGCCATTGTTGCCACGCTTGGCGAGCGGGTTGGCAACCGCAGTTTTTTGTTGTAGAGTTGCTGCTATCAGAAAGATGCTGCTGCCCTTCTCCTACCTGTTTCCCACTGTCGCCTTTCACGACACCCACGGGTAGATATGGGGTAGTGGATCTGGAGGCCTTGAAGTTAAAAAACGTAATTTCACTCCGGCTAAGCACTCGTCGTAAATTGACGCAGTACGCGAGCAATCCGAGTTGGATCCGAGCCGCTACCAATAAAATTGTTAACTGCAATTTTACGTGCCGATTTACCACAAGTTCAGAGGTGAACGAAAACATCGTGAGAAAGGCTATAAGTCTGAGAAATTAAAAAAAAAACGAATACAGTTCGAATAACACAGGAGTTCGCCAACCGCATTGGGGCAGTGCACCTGACACATCTGTACCCTAAAATCCTCTCAGAAATGTGACCACGCATATGCATAGCAGTGGGACGTAGGTATATGTATATAGGCTGTTACTTAACATTAACATTCTCCTAAAAATAACAATTCTGGCAACGACTCCATGCCTACGTCGACAATAACTTCAGTTATATTTGAAGCTTATGTTTAATTACTTTCTTACCTAGTAAGCTAAAATTTGTCACAATAATAAAACTTATATTATGCTACGTGAGCATTGCTCGTTGAACAACCTATGTTTAATTTCAAAGTACAATGACCTAGTTTGGATTGCACATAGGCACGTACGTAAGAGCTAGCGCTTGAATAATATTAAACGGTTCATTCCGTCGGAAATATAGTGGACCCAAACTGTGCGATTCACCAGAAGTTTATTTCCTCGCACGACTTCTT